TGGAGTATTGCTGAGTGCGGCCTAAAACTTAACTCACTCACTCGCATCTAATCTTGGAAAGCGCACTTCGATATTTCCTTGGCATGTTGACATTAAAATATTTTTCACATTCATATTTGTGTTTAAATGTATTAGTATCTCCATTTAAAGTATCCTTCCAGGTCATGTGACTGTGGGTGTGTGGTTGGCCTTCACATTGCGTGTCTGAATGGGTAAAAGAGCTTATACAGATTAATGCGAGGCTGGGTAGTGTTATGTTTTTGCACTCGGACCTCGTAGAAGGCTGTCCGTCCTGTTAATTTCTACCCAGTTCGAACTCAAAATGGCTGTGTAGACTAAGGCTTAGTGTGTGAATATATATAATTTTGATAGTAACAAACAAAAGCCCATTTAAATTGAAAAGGAGCCCTAGGGAGACCAGAGATTCAGAACCTGGGGAAATCTAGACTTGCTTCGTTTAGGGCTTAGGACTACAGGGAAGGCTAGGCTGTAGGGGAAATAATGTGGTTCAGGGTCTGTGAGACAGACTAATGGCTGTGTTGAAAGCTGTTGTGTGGTTTTAATCTAAAGTGGAAGGGGTGGGAGTGTTTACGCAGGTGTGTAAGGCAGGGTGGTTTGTGTGGGTTGAGTTTGAATGTTTCGAGTTGGGATTTGTTTGTGTTATATTTTGTTGTAACGGGTTTGTATAGAGTAGTTACAACTTGTTCAGCTTGACCTTAGCTACGCTATGCATGACCCGGGAGGTCAAATGGCACAAACGGCAGATCGAGTTAACTTCATTAAATAGGGGAGCAACAAATGTTATTAATGTCGCTGCTGCTGCTCGCTGCCTAAAAGCCCGATTCGGAAACATTAAACCATCTCAAGCGTCTTTTTTAAAGAAAGTTAGGACATTGCTGACGATTTCTCGACACTGAGATGTCAAACGGCGACCTTGTCTCGGCTGTTCGGACATGTTGACAATCAACTTACAAAGGTGCACCCCTGCACAATAATAGACTCAACCAGTTGTGACACGGTCGCGCAATACATTAGTATTCACCGATCAGGTCAAGCTGAACAAGCTGTTAATAGGGCTGGAGAAAGGAGAGACGTTTTAGCGTCACGCCGCATTTAGCAATATTCCAGCAATATCACGGCGGGGGACACCAGAATGGTACCCATATGGGGAATCGAACCCAGGTTTTGGCGGAACGAGCGAAAGCTTTAACCTCAAGGCTACTATGTCATTCTTGTTATCAAAAAAATATTTGTATTTGGAAGACCATTATAATGTGTAGGTAACAGGTAGTAACTAATCTGTTCATTGAACCACAATTCTTGTTGTTTTAAAGCGTCTGCGAACTTCCTGTCTGCGCAATGGGAGGATACCCCCGCGCTATTTGTTGTTCTTCCTCCCCACCTGGCTTCATCCAATTAAGAATCTGCACCGAAACGTCGCTCTGTGCAATAAACAAGAAGTTGTCATCCATGATAGAGAGAGAGATAGAGGGAAATTATTTTAAAGTCCAACAAACCAGTAGCTTCCAGTATAGGCTATTGTCATTTGTTGAATCCCAGGTTGAAACTATACGTTCACCGGAAAAAATACTTTAGGCCACATTAAAAAATATTCTTGTTTCTCATCACCTTTTATTTTATGTCCTAAACCCCTTGAAATTAACAGTTAGAGTGAGTGAGTTTTACGCCGCTTTTAGCAATATTCCAGCAATATCACGGCGGGGACACCAGAAATGGGTGTCGTCATTTAACTTCCAGGGCAAAAAGCACACCTGCAAATATGAGGTGACGTGGACACACTGTGGAATATGAGGTGATGTGGACACACTGTGGAATATTAGGTGACGTATACAAAATGTGGAATATGAGGTGACGTGGACACACTGGGATATGAGGTGACGTGGACACACTGGGATATGAGGTGACGTGGACACACTGGGATATGAGGTGACGTGGACACACTGGGATATGAGGTGACGTGGACACACTGGGATATGACTGACTGGCTGAGTTTGGTTTTACGCTGCTTTTAGCAATATTCCAGCAATATCACGGGGGACTGGGATATGAGGTGACGTGGAGAGAATGTGGAATATGAGGCAAACCGAAACATGACCCTCATTAACCTATTCAGACAAGGACCTACTTTTCAGCCGATGCGAATTTTCTCGTGTGAAAGTGAAAATAGACATCACAAACAACTATGGCTGCACAAATTTCCAATTCCTTGTTTCATAAGAAAGTGGTATTTACAACTGAAATTTTAATTTTAAACTTTAATAACATCGTATTTCTATATTTTATGGCGAGGTGTAGGCAGCATGACCTTAACTAAGACGTCACAGACTGCCCCAGTTTGATGAGGTCGTACACCTGGTTACACCTGTTATGATTTTTTTTTGCGCTTATTCAGTGTAGTTCTGTAACGCACAATGTGATTGAAAAAATACCAAGTCCGTACCAGACCACCAAACTTTTCTAGCGGCAGAGCCTCGTTTTGAGATTTCCACGATTTCCAGGTTTCGGTTTGTCAGTGCTCGCTGTACGACAGAACACGATGCACATGTTTACAAGGATTAAAAGGAGCGTAGTGTTGCAATATACAAGTGCTTAGATGTATCAAATAATACTGATTAATATTTATGTATCCAGTTAAATGAATTGGTCTTAGTATTCTGGACTGGTTATTGTACTAAGTTGCGCAATAGGACGGAACCCAGTCAACATGACTCAAGACTGTTGTGCAATCAATGTTTTGACTTGTGACGTGGACACACTCTAGAATATAAGGTGACGTGAACGGACTGTCAAATATGAGGTCATGTGGAGAGAATGTGGAATATGAAATGACGTGGACACACTGTGGGATATGAGGTGACGTGGAGAGAATGTGGAGTATGAGGTGATGTGAACACACTGTGGAATATGAGGTGACGAGAACACTGTGGAATATGAGGTGATGTGGAAACACTGTGGAATATGAAGTGACGCGAACACTGTGGAATATGAGGTGACGTGAACACTGTGGAATATGAGGTGATGTGGACACACTGTGGAATATAAGATGACTTGGACACTGTGGAATATGAGGTGACGTGGACACACTGGAATATCAGGTGACGTGAACACACTGTGGAGTATGAGGTGGCGTGGACACACTCTAGAATACGAGGTGATATGGGCACAGTGTGGAATATAAGGTGATGTGAACACACTGTGGAATATCAGGTGACGTGAACACACTGTGGATTATGAGGTGACGTGGACACACTATAGAGTATGAGCTGTCGTGGACAGAATGTGGAATATGAGGTGATATGAACACACTATGGAATATGAGGTGACGTGGACACTCTGTAGAATATGAGATGATGTGGACACACTGTGGAATATGAGGTGACAAAGACACATAGTGGAATATGCGGTGACGTGAACACACTGTGGAATATGAGGTGACGTGGAGAGAATGTGGAACATGAGGTGACGTGGTCACACTCGAGAATATGAGATGGCGTGGACGGTATGTGGGATATGAGGTGATGTCAACACACTGTGGAATAAAAGGTGACGTGAAGACACTGTGGATTATGAGGTGAAGTGGATACACTGTGGAATATGAAGTGACGTGAACACTGTGCAATATGAGGTGACGTGGACACCCTAGAATACGAGGTGATTTGGGCACACTGTGGAATATAAGGTGATGTGAATACACTGTTGAATATGAGGTGACGTGAACACCGTGTGGAATATGAGGTGACGTGGATACACTGTGGAATATAAGGTGACGTGAAGAAACTGTGGAATATGAGGTGACGTGGACACATTGTGGAATATGAAGTGACGTGAACACACTGTGGAATATGAGGTGACGTGGACACTCTCGAAAATATGAGGTGACGTCGACACACTGTGGAATATATGGTGATGTGAACACATTGTGGAATATGAGGTGACGTGAACACACTGTGCAATATCAGGTGACGTGGAGATAATGTGGAATTTGGGTGACGTGGACGAACTCGAGAATATGAGGTGACATGGACAGAAAGTGGAATATGAGGTGATGTGAACACACTGTGGAATATGAGGTGACGTGAACACACTGTCGAATATGAGGTGACGTGAACACACTGTGGAATATGAGGTGACGTGAACACTGTGGAATATTAGGTGACGTGGAGAGAATGTGGAGCATGAGGTGACGTGGACAGTATGTGGAATATGAGGTGATGTGAAAACACTATGGAATATGAGGTGACGTTGACACACTGTGGAATATGAGGTGACAAAGACACACAGTGGAATATGCGGTGACGTGAACACACTGTGGAATATGAGGTGACGTGGAGAGAATGTGGAGCATTAGGTGACGTGGACAGTATGTGGAATATGAGGTGATGTGAACACACTGTGGAATATCAGGTGACGTGGAAACACTGTGGTATATAAGGTGACGTGAACATACTGTGGAATACGAGGCGATGTGGAGAGAATGTGGAATATGAGGTGACGTGGACACACTCTAGAATATGACGTGACAAGTACACACAGTGGAATATGAGGTGACGTGGACACGGTGTGGAATATGAGCTGAACGTGGTGAGAATGTGGAATATCAGGTGACGTGGACAGAATGTGTAATTTCAAGTGACGTGGACATTTGTAAATAATCAAACAATGATTTGATTATTCATTATTAGCACCATTACTCCAATGGAGCTGCTGAGGACAACCCTCGGCATACTTTGCCATAATGGCTTTCATATCACATGCAATACCAAGAAAGGATTGAGTGGTTGGGCTTATCGCTATTATAAGGACCACATAGCAGATATTGGAGTCTGGCTGCTGCGCTTTGGACGAACCTGGCCACTGTTGATACTCTGCAACGATACCCGGAATGAGAGATAACATACAATGCATCCATTCAAACTGATATGTATGAGGTGTGACGGGCATACTTGACTCCAACACTAAAGCAGGAAGTATTAACAGGTGCAAGCCAATCTCTGATACACGTCTGCTGTTTAACAGCATTCCCTGACAGCTCCGCGCCCTGATAGCCACAGTCATGACGTTGTGGGTAAGTACATGCCTATCCTATTAACCACACACGCACGTACCCACGCATACATACACACACAAGCGCGCACGCATACACAGACATATATTGGTTTAGTGTCATGAAGATGTTCACATCTACTTTGGTGTTCCAGTTTGTTTGTATTTGGGGTTTAAAGTCATAGCATGGTGTCTAAAGTGTAGAGACGGATTTGTCAAGAGATGCAGTAGATGCAGCATCAGACTTTGTGTTATGAAATATGCCGACAGGACACGGTAACCAACAAAAATCGCTGTCGTATTGGTCAGTGGAAAGATTGTTATATAATGTCAATGATTAGAGAATATATACACATGGAAACAAATAAGGGAACACATGAAAGTACAAGTGTTCCTTCCTCATTCAGCCTGCTACATCCCGCATGAGTGGACATTTCTCTCGCCAGGGGAGAAAGTGGTATCAGTGGGCTAGAAGCTGGAACCAGCCAATAGGACAATTGTCAAAGCGCAAACCAGATTTCACAGGGATTTTCTACACAGCTCACAGATATTTCTGTCTTTTCTACACTAAGTTGGAACATAAATGGCCTGTCTAATAAACTTGATAATAATGATTTTAAAGCCTATTTAAGTAACTTCAAGATAGTTTGTCTTATTGAGACCTTTGTTAGTACACTAGTAAATCAACAGTGGCTTGATGACTACGATATTTACTACAGTCCAGCTGTAAAGCTATCGGAACATGGTCGCTTGTCTGGTGGCATATGTGTCTGTATCCATCAATCACTTTCCCGATTTACCAAAATAATCAACACGAATGTTGATAATCTTCTTTGCATAAAACTAAAGAAAGAAGCGTTTTCACTTAATAGGGACATAGCTTTGTTATGCACATATATCCCACCAGACGGGTCGTCATATTACGCTAGACATAACACTGATTGTCACATAAATCAGATGGAGACTTTCGTCTTAGAAAATCTGACTGATCTCCAGGACTCGCATATAGTTCTTTGTGGTGACATGAACGCGAGAACAGGAGAAGGGGAATAATGTTCCAGTTGAACTTGATGCACGGAGTGCTGAATACATGCAGAGAGACACTCTCTGCCATGATGACGTCACGGTGTCAAACCGGAAGTCACATGACAAGGTGATTAATAAATTTGGGCGTATACTTCTTGACCTTTGCTATGCTCTACAACTTTATATTGTAAATGGAAGAGTTGCCTATGACATGGAAGGGGGGATGTACATATATAGGCCAGCAGGGTTGCAGCGTCAATGATTATTGTATTTGCACTCCATCCTTCTTTCAGTTTGGCGACCGATCTGAGTGTGATCACTCTCAATTAGAACTGACCTGTAATTTCGCATGTACACTCTCCACTAGAAATCCTTCTAATCTAGAAGAGAAAGTTGTGTGGAATGATTCACTTAAGGATACATTTTTATCCATCTTGCGATCTAAACTATCTCTGTTGCATGATGTAATCACCGATGCGTTAGATATCGATATAGAACTAGCAATAAGCGACTTTGTCAAAATTATTTTAGAGGCCGCACAGTGTATGAGGAAGACGACTAACCTTGATAGGAAACCTAAAGTTAGACTTAACAAAGAGTGTAGAGCAGCTAAACAACGTGCTAGAAAAGCACTTAGAAGATTTAGACGTAATCGCTCTGATAACAACCGAGCCTTATACTGTAGGGAACGAAATAAATATATAGCCTTTTGTAGACAATTCAAAATAAACCAATGCAAAAACAACCTTAGAAAATTAAACGACTCTTTACATAACCCATCCCTTTTCTGGAAACGAGTCCGCTCACTCAGACAAAAATCAGGCCCCATTAATCAGATATCAAAATCAGAATGGCTTGTCCATTTTAAGTCAGTCTTTAAGAATAACAATATAATATCTTTCAGATTATCCAGAATGAAGATAACTCTATAGATGACTCACCCCCTATACTCGATGACATAGACAGACAGGTGCTAGACTGCCATATTACAGACAGTGAAATTTTGAATGCCATTAATAGTCTTAAATGTGGTAAATCACCTGGTCTCGATCTGGTTCTTGTGGAAATGTTGAAATGTTCAAGTTCTGAAATTGTGCCATTTCTTAGTAAATGTTTTAACAAAATATTCAATGATGGCTACTTTCCAGAAGTCTGGTCACGCTCAATTATTGTCCCAGTTCATAAAAAGGGAGATGTAAACAACCCAGACAACTACAGAGGTATATCATTATTTTAGGTAAAGCTTTTACATCTATTCTTAATACTAGACTTACACTGTGGGCAAACATGCACGATAAAATTTCCGAATGTCAAGCAGGATTCAGGAAGTCTTATTCCACATCAGACCATATTTTCACCATATATGCAATTATTCAGAAATGTTTATCTCGACGCAAATCTAAATTGTATGTTGCATTTGTTGATTTTAAAAAGGCGTTCGACTCAGTTGATCGTTCCAAACTATGGTTTTGTCTTAGAAATGCGGGTCTGGGAGGCCAAATGTACACCATGCTTACGTCATTGTATTCAAATATCAAATCATGTGTACGCAGTCAAGGTGGTTTATCTGATTTTTTAAATTGTCCAGTCGGTTTAAGACAAGGATGTATTATGAGCCCTATCCTGTTCTCTTTCTTCATAAACGAATTATATAATGATATTTCGCTGCAAGGTAAGCATGGTGTCCAGTTATTTCCCGACATTATTGAAATATTTATGTTACTTTTTGCAGACGATGTAATTCTAGTATCTACCTCAATTATTGGGTTACAAAACCAACTAAACATACTAGAAAGATATTCTTCAGAATGGTCGCTATCAGTAAATCTTGAAAAGACTAATATTGTTGTATTTAGAAAAGGTGGTCCCCTCTCTTCGAAGGAAAAGTGGTGTTTTAATTCTAAACTCATTAATGTCGTAAATCATTATAAATACCTCGGTGTAAAGCTTTTCTTTACTATGAACTGGGCACATTGTGCTGCAGATTTAGCTCTCAGAGCTAAGGAAGCACTGCTATACCTCATGTCCGTTTATAACAATGTTGGTTTCCTTACCCACAACGTGTTTTTCAAATTATTTGATGTACAAATTCAGCCTATTCTTTTGTACGGTTCCGAAATATGGAAAGGTTGAAAGGATACACTTACTGGCCTGCAAGAAATTTTTAGGCGTTACACAATCTACCCATAACGACATGGTATATGGAGATTTCCAGTTTTAATTAATGCTCAAATTAGATGCTTAAAATACTGGCTAAAGATAGTACAAATGCATGATCACCGTCTCCCGAAAATCTCCTACAATATGCTTCTACATTTAGACAGTAACGGCAAAGAAACGTGGGCGTCCCATATAAGGAACCTTCTTTGTTCTAAAGGTTTTGGTATCGTCTGGTTAAACCAATCCGAAGGTAATGTCAATGTTTTCCTGAACCAGTTTAGAGATCGCTGTATATGTATTTTTCAACAAGAATGGCACTCGAGGTTAGAAGAAAGCTCCCGTTTTGATTGTTACAGACAGTTTAAGTCCCTTTTAGAACCAGAAAGATATTTATCCCTCGTGACTACAAAGAATCTGAGACTGCTACTTGTAAAATTTAGATTGGGGCTATTAGATTTAAAAGTAAATGAAGGAAGAAGACTATCCATTGATAGAAATTATAGATCATGTCAATTTTGTAAAAAAGGCATTGAAGACGAATTACATTTTCTTGTTGAATGTCCAGCCTATGATAAAATCCGTTCTGATTATCTCCGTAACTGTATTACAATCAGAAGTAATAATGCAGCATTTTACAAAATTGTTTCCTCATGCGATGTCTCCATTTTAAAAAAGATTATCACTGTATATCCATCATGCTATTATGTTAAGAAAACAATTGTTATCCTCCTAAATGAGAACCTTCTTTGTAACCGCTGTATATGGGCCGGTGGCCTTACATTCAAATAATCATATTTTGACTTGACTTTTTTTGATTATTATTTTCCAGGTTTCTTCACAAGCTATGTCTTGCACTGTGGGTGAAATTCTGGAAAAGAATAAAGGAACACATTATTTTCCAGGTTTCTTCACAAGCTATGTCTTGCACTGTGGGAGAAATTCTGGAAAAGAATAAAGGAACACTTGTACTTTCAGGTGTTCCCTTATACTTTTCCATGAGTATATTTTTCAGTGCCTGAAGACATGACAGGGAATAATGAAATATTCGCTGAGTCTGTCAGAATAGCCTTTGCCTCAGCAGTGAAAATTGAGCTTTCTGAAAGATATTGGTTTGGATAGGAAAATATTGCAACCATCCTTGGACCAATCTGTGTGTCACATTTACTTCATTATTGTATATATTCCGGCTGAAAATGTATTAAATTTGTGCCAGACATTTTAAACTTCATGAAAGAAAGGCCTAACTCAGCCCTACCAGCTGCCAAGGAGTAGGAGATAGAAATTGGCATAGAGATGTAATAAGTCAATATTACATTCTTTGATGTGAGGTTTGGTGCACATTTCGGGGCTGTGAGATAGCCTAGGGGTTAAAGGTGACTACTAACAAAAACAACACTTATCACAGGGATAAAGGCATTCTTAAAGTCACCTTCCTTCCCCTCTTTCACACCCTCCTTTCTTCCTCCTTCCCCTCTTTAACACCCTCCTTTCTTCCTCCTTCCCCTCTTTCACACCCTCCTTTCTTCCTCCTTCCCCTCTTTCACACCCTCCTTTCTTCCTCCTTCCCCACTTTCACACCCCCCTTTCTTCCTCCTTCCCCTCTTTCACACCCTCCTTTCTTCCTCCTTCCCTCTTTCACACCCTCCTTTCTTCCTCCTTCCCTCTTTCCACACCCTCCTTTCTTCCTCCTTCCCCACCCTCCTTTCTTTTCACACCCCTCCTTTTCCTCCTTCCCTCTTTTCCCCCCCTTCCCCTCTTTCACACCCCCTCTTTCCTCCTCCTTCCCCTCTTTCACACACCCTCCTTTCTCCTCCTTCCCCTCTTTCACACCCTCCTTTCTTCCTCCTTCCTTTTCTTCTTCCTCCTCCCCTCTTTCACACCCTCCTTTCTTCCTCCTTCCCCTCTTCACACCCCCTTTCTTCCTCCTTCCCCTCTTTCACACCCTCCCCCTCCTTTCTTCCTCCTTCCCTCTTTCACACCCTCCTTTCTTTCTTCCTCCTTCCCCTCTTTCACACCCTCCTCCTTTCTTCCTCCTTCCCCTCTTTCACACCCTCCTTTCTTCCTCCTTCCCCTCTTTCACACCCTCCTTTCTTCCTCCTTCCCCTCTTTCACACCCTCCTTTCTTCCTCCTTCCTTCACCCTCCTTTCACTCCTTCCTTCCTTTCCCTCCTTCCCTCTTTCCCCTCCTTCCTTCCTTCACCCTCCTTTTCCTTCCTTCCTTTTCCCTCCTCTTCCACTTCCCTTCTTCCCCTCCTTTCTTCCTCCTTCCCCTTTCTTCTTTCTCCTTCCTCCTTTCACACCCTCTTTTTCCTCCTTCCCCTCTTTCACACCCCTTTTCTTCCTCCTTCCTCTTTCACACCCTCTTTCTTCCTCCTTCCTCTTTCCTCCTCCTTCCCCTCTTTCCTTTTCCTCCTTTCTTCCTTTCCTTCCCCTCTTTCCACCCTCCTTCTTCCCTCCTTCCCTCTTTCCCCTCTTTCACTTCCTTCCTCTTTCCTTCCTTCCTTCCCCTCTTTCACACCCTCCTTTCTTCCTCCTTCCCTCTTTCACCCTCCTTTCTTCCTCCTTCCCTCTTCACACCTCCTCCTTTCTTCCTCCTTCCCCTCTTTCCTTTTCCTCCTTTCTTCCTCCTTCCCCTCTTTCCACCCTCCTTTCCTCCTCCTTCCTCCTTTCCACCCTCCTTTCTTCCTCCTTCCCACTTTCACACCCTCCTTTCCTTCCTCCTTCCCCTCTTTCACACCCTCCTTTCCTCCTCCCCTCTTTCACACCCTCCTTTCTTCCTCATTCCCTCTTTTTCACCCTCCTTTTCCTCCTCATTCTCCTCTTTCACACCCCCCTTTCCTCCGAGCTCCCCTCTTCACACCCTCCATTTTTCTCCCCTCATTCCACCTTCTTTTCACACCCTCCTCCTTTCCTCCTCCATCCCACTTTCACACCCTCCTTTCTTCCTTCTACCCTTCTTTCACACCCCTTTTCTCGTCATTCCCCTTTCACACCCTCCTTTCCTCCTCCTTCCCACTTTCACACCCTCCTTTCTCCCTTCTAGCGTTCTTTCACATCCCCTTTCTCGTCATTCCCCTCTTTCACACCCTCCTTTCCGACTCATTCAACTCTTTCACACTCTCCTTTCCTCCTCATTCTTCTCTTTTACACCGTCCTTTCTCATCCCCCACTTTCACAACCTCCTTTCTTCCTTCTTCCCCTCTTTCACACCCTCCTTTCCTCCTCCTTCCCCTCTGTTACGACGTAAATTGTAATAAAAACGCAAATTGTAATACTTGCAGTAAATTGTAATAAACTTGACGTAAATTGTAATAAAAACGTAAATTGTAATAAAAATTGACGTAAATTGTTATACGCAAATTGTGATAAAAATTGACGTAAATTGTAATAATTTTCGTTGCGGTAAAATGTAATAAATATTTACGTAAATTGTAATAACAGTTTTAATCACTCGTAAATACGCAGGTGTTTGTTTTTCGTTGCATTTCATACATCAAATAAGCTTGTTAGGGCGATAACTCTAGAAAGAAATGATGGATATGGTTCAAATTTGGTACCAAGGTATATTGGCGAGATTCACCGATACAAGGGAAATGGAGTGACCTTGAGATAATTTTCAAGGTCACAGCAAAAATCTGAGGGTTTTGCCAATATAGAGATTGTTAGCGCGATAACCCAAGAAAGAATTGACAAATCTTAGCTAAATGACGAAAATGATATTCGTCCTGATATATAATCGATATAAACTGTCCTCTGTATCATGTCTTTTCGCAAATATCTTTTGAGGTTTTGATATGTATACATATAAAGTGGGGGTGGGGTAGGGGTTGGTTTCTAACGGGTATAACTAACACACTTGCATGCATGTAGAATCGGAGAGGTGGGTGGGTGTTCTGACGGGAATAACTACGAGGGACGTTCAAATAGTAGTCAGCCTCACCTAGAATATGATACAAATGCAGCTGTTTTTATGTTTTATTTTTCTACATATTATCTGTCAGTCTCAAGCAAATTGCTTTGGCTATGTTGCAGCCTCACGATCCCCATTTTGTGAGACTTTGTATATTGGCTTCGTACTCCCACAAAACGTAAAATCTGCAATGAAATGCATCACAAACTTCAGAAAACAAAATATGCTATGTTTGAGATTGGTAGAAGTCGGCTAGAATCAAACTTAGATATTAAACTGCACAAAAAAGCAATTTCAAAACTACAATCGTTTGTTCAAATGACTTCCCATTCTGTTTACTGAAAGAACTCGAGAAAGAAATGAAGGATTTTGTTCAAATTTGGTACCAAGGTTTATTGACTGGAGATTGGAGATTTACCGACACCACTTGAATTTAGTGACCTTGCGGTCATTTTAAAGGTCACAGCGAAGGTGTAACAGTTTTGCACATACCAAGCTTGGTAGCCGCGAACTCAGGAAAGTATTAATAGATTTTGATCCAATTGTATATCAAGGTGTACTGGCGGGATTCCCCCAACACCAATTGATTGGGAAACTTGTGCTCATTTTAAGTTTTGTGTTTTTGCACATGTCTAACTTTTTAGTCCGAAAATACAAGACAGAATTAATATGTTTTGCTTAAAGGTAGTACCAAGATGCTTTGGGAGTATCGTCTAACGCCAGTCGAATTCAGTGACCTTCGGATTATTTTCGAGGTCACAGCGAGTATTCTTGCGATGTCTCCAAACCTAATGGGTGGAATTTGTTCAAGGCATCAGATGACAGTTTCGGTAACGTTTACATAATTTTCAGGGTCAGACAGAGGATAATTGCGACATTCAGATATTGACATGTGGCGGGGGTGATAGCTATGTTTGTGACAAACGCTTTGTCATTACTAATTTTCAAATTTTTGTTAGCATATGGTTTCTATAATTTCATGTTAATTCTACCAGCTGTGAAATTATTCGTGACACGTCTTAAAAGCCAGAGATTATTTGTGTATGTTTCGAAAATTAAAGTTAACTGTTTTTTCATTATGGAGTTATTTTCGATGTTGACGCAAGGACATATTTTACGAGCAATAGCTTTCAATAATTTAACGTTATTTCTATTACATTTTGAAGTTCTTCATAGCATATCCCAAAATAACAGGATATTGTTTGTTTACGCTTTGAAATGTACGTTTCTTCTTCTTCATTTTCGAATTATTTTCAGTGTTGACGCAAGGATATATTTGAAGTCAATTTTATGTTTTGATCATATGTGATTTATTATGATTTATGTTTCGATCATACATTCATATATTGCATTGTCATAGTTTAACCTGGTTCGTATTATTTTCTTCATCATATTACTACATATTATTGTATTTTTATGAGAGGGAATTTTAAGTTACATTTGCTAAGGATATCATAAATCGCTGGCGCCTGGTTATTCCTTGCCACATAGCAGTCAATCTGTCTCCTCATTTGTTGTATTTGATTGATGCATTTAAAATAAAATGTAGAAATGATATTGAATTGCATCATTTACTTCAAGGAATCGATCAGATGTGCTCGTTATCAAAGTAAAGTCAAAACTTCTTTCTGTAAGGTATACAGTGGAAGTTGACACCTTAATTGTTATGGGTAGACCAAAGAAATCATTTATTTAGTTTCACCGCTCAAAATACAACAAAGAATTCAACGGGTGGCATTAACCTCAAAGAATGATAATAACAATGCTTATAACATACGAGGGCAAACATATCGGGGATAATTTGTTTTCATGCGATATGCACCGGGTAAAATATCACTTTGTCATGGTGACATGACATCATGAACAATGTTATGACGTCACGTTGCTTCTAAGAAGCCGCCTTCTAAATACAACGATGACGGGGAGCCTGCCTTTGTTGGAAAGTAGATTATCGTGCAATTTCCTCAATTAAAGACTTCGGTAATAAATAGAAAATTATATTCGTGACCATAATATGCTAGGTTAACGACCTAAATATCGGCATATCCCTTCTCTGGTTCCGAAAATACCAAGATTTAGGCAGTTGTGTTGTAAACTGATATTTATCTTCTATAAAGTCGGCTATATTCAAACCATGAGAAATGTCGTCAAATAATGTCTGATGACAGTTACCAACGTCCCAATAGTGTCCATATATTTTAGAAATTTATAACAATATTTAAAGCACAACCTCACTACTTTATTTGATAAATGAATAAGGATTAATCAACCATATTAAAACTAAGGTTTTCAGGCTTGAAGGACGAAGCTCATTAAAATCTTTTGCCAGCTCCCTTTTAGAGACTGATAAAAGGTTCGAAAATGTGGGTCATAAATGCATGAAAGTTTTTATTGTTGTTCATACCCGTTAGGCCTCCCGCCTCTACATGTATTTGAGATATAACCGTTAGAACACACCACACCACTTTTCTGCCCATTTATTCAATTGGGCTAAGTCATAGTTGAGAGTTGCTTCTATGGATTTTACATATTTTCCCGGAACACCGATTGATGTGTCATCGGGCAACATCATTGTGATATTTTGTAAATTTCAAGGGGACATCATTGATATATACAAGGAACGCAAATTAACCAAGGTCAGATCCTTGAGGAACCCCTGCAGTAACATTTAGTTTTTCATAATGCTCCATTAACAGAGACACACTGTCGTCTATCAGGGTCCGGTTGTTCAAAACTCGGTTATCTTTTAACCAGCCGTTAAGTACATTTAGCCGACTGTTACCTAATAACAGAGGGTTATCTTGTTGTTCCAAACTCTGTTAACTTTTAACAGGCTGTTAACGTGACGTTAAGTTAAAACACCTAAGGACCGCCGGTAACTTTTTAACAGTGTGGTTAACTCGCAAATGGCGTTCATGGCTAACACTGCTTTCATGATGCCAGTTCAGCAAAGAAAGGATAGGGTGTATCGTGGACTGGACTTCGATATTGGAAATTATTCTGACGAAGAGTTACATACGAAACTGTATCTATGCACATCATAGGAACTAAAATACATGTTGTACAAGTAAATGATACCTACGTTTCATCTTTTAACACTTGTGGAAAGGTTTATATATGCTTTACTACACTAAATGTGTGAATTTCTTCTGTAAATATTATTCAAACAAACACTTTCAAAGAATATAACACGTACACCCTATACCCACGTATATCATATTGAACAAGGCTGCATGTAGATAATTAAATTAGTTTCATGAAAAACAATCCGAACGATTACATTATGATACTGAAAGTGTAATCGGCGGGATATGGTGATTGTGTATACTCTTATTCTACCGACCGTCACCTCAGAGAAATTGCCAAATACACTCCCATTTTAAGAAAGAGAAGAAGCCAGAAATGCCGATTATTACCGTTGTCGTTCTGCGTGATTTTGCGTCAGTCATGGCGTCAGGCAGGACAGAAACTTCACAGTTTCGTGTAAACACATCACATTCCTGTATTGTATCTATTTCTAATTTCCTATTTCTTGCTACTATGCTCTTTCCATGCAAATGGGTGTCTGAGAAAATGCTACACAGTGTAAAGTCTGAAATTTTCTTTGTTTACATTTCAAACAGGTGTTGTCTTTCGAGCACAGCAGTTGTTTCCGCCCCCAATATCTTTCGTTTCACTTTATCTAGACACTTGGTATTGGTGCCAAAAAGACCAGTTGTAATTAGATTCTAAAATGTATGAGGAATTCAGTATGGCTGGGACGAGTAGGAAACAATTGAATCGAGTACCCGCATGTACGTACCCGAATCGGAATCGAGTACCCGGAAATGTAAGAAATACATTC